AGAGAAAGGAAAAATTGAAATCGCATCATATAACCCCTTTAAATACCCAAATTTTGCTTTTTACTGTTTTGTCTTCCTTTTCAAAGAAAAAATCAATTACAAAACAACAATTTAAAAATATTTACTTATCACTGAACATTTCTTAACATTCTAGCAGACATTATACCAACAAAGCACAATTTAACTTAATAAGTTTAATTTTTGAGACCCCCTTCTTGAATCGGGCATGCATTTTTTTACTGTGCAAATAAATGCAGCCTTGCTTGGCAGAAGATAATTCTTTTAAAACAGAAAATATTTCAGATCCCACAGATACAAATCCACAGATTTGAGCACTATGTGTGAATGTTATAATAAATATATTAATATAGCTGTTATTATTATCATTATTATTGTCCTACTTTTTTATTTTATTTTACAGAACTACAGTAAAATTACAATACTAATGTTTATGAATGTTGATGGAGCTTTTATTTTGGCCGAAACCCCCAGGAAGACCTCAGTGCTTCTTTTTGTTGACAACAGCAGATTTATGAATGATTCTCATTAAGAATTTGGGAAGATGTTTGTTGCACATAGACCTGGGCGATAAAACGGTATCGATATTTATCGACGGTACACCTTCTTCAACAAAAAAAATATTTGTTGTTTGCCTCAATAAATTGAGTTAATTTAAAAATACAGTGGTTAAATGTATGTGCATTTTTTTCTATTGCTCTTACGCAGACAGCACACACGAACATGAGGGCTGTGCCTGCCAGTGATGAGGAGCTTGTGAGTAAAGAATGAATATTAGTCGAATTTAAAATAAACATTTGCATTTGAATGCAAAAATAGTACAATCCAATGTTAGATGAGCGTCATCAGTGGAGCACGTGATGCGGTGATGATGCAAGTGACGTTGTAGTTTAATGTTTTGTTTGTTACTAAGCAACTGACGAGTAACAACAGCGCAGATTTTCCTCGCCCTTTGGACTTGAATGGACATGAATACATGTAATTCGTGCGTGTATTAGAAAACAACATTCTGCAGTTTATTTACTAATTGTTTAAGGCCATTTCGCGATTTCAATCATCATACAGTAACCAGCAACAGCCACCCCTTCCTCTTCTCATCGGAGACATGCGATGCAGTTCTAAACAGTCTCTGGCTGTCGGTGCTTGTAATGATTTTTGCGTCTATCTCTGACAGTTTTACATGTTTCCACACTGCTGACATGTTTGCTGCATTAGCGCGTGCCTCTATTTGATCATGTCACGTCATTGTTCGGTACAATTTATTCGGTCTTTTCGCTTATTTGGCCGAACACCAAAAGAGAACACCTTTTTTTGCTATTTTCGGCCGAACAATTTCGGTTGCCGAACATTCGGTGCATCCCTACTAAAATGCCTAAATTACATTACTTCATAATTTGTGAAAACGGCAAATGTTTGAATCTGAAAGTCATAAAAAATACATATTATGTGATCAGCTAACGTAAGACGTAGTGACAACACAGTTTTTTCCTATTTTCCATAGCTTACAATTTTTTACACAGGTATACCTTTTTATGTGCTGTGCATATTGGATCTTGTAAGCCTGCAGCGATGGCTGTACGCAGAAATTCAAGGTAATAAAACACTCGGCCTCTCAACTGTTGTCATTGTTATTTGGGCCCCCTTCACATGTGGAAACCATTATATCCTGTCTGCTGGACTGAAAAAAAAAAAACAGGGCTGCCGCGAGTTGGAGATCTGCAAGAGAATCCGCTCCGTGACCTGGTCTCTCAACGGGCCCCTCGGTGTTTGCACAAAGAGGTTTTGTTATTGTAGGACCCCAGGCTCTGTCGGCCCCTCCACTGACACTCAGTCTCTCTCTCGGTGGAGGGGCGGCCTAAAACATAAGATCAGCCTAGAGCGGATCAAGAACCCACTGGCGTAAGGTGTGTTATCTCTGTAGGAGATTTATCTCCACGTTGTAAGTTGAGTGAGGCCCAGCGTATATCCCCGTTTAAACAGTATTCTGATGCTGGATGTGTTAAAAGATTCTTTTATAGTAATACTACACTTTTTTCCCTCAAGAAGACATCCCAGACAGTCATCAGACTAAGCTGAACTGCACATGGTCCAAGACCTTGAAAGTATATGAATGCAATGTTTTGTCTGTGCTAGTAATGCGTAACTGTGGAAACCAAAGTCCTTTTTGTGCCAGCCTTATACAGTGTCATTACTTCAGTTCTGATGGTCAGATAAGTTTGAGAAGTTTTGGTATTAAAGAACCATTAAAACAAATAACGCTCCATTAACCTGATAACTCGGTGAGATTATAAATGCAGTCCACCCATATATGCTCACATGTGGAACTCATTTTACACTCACTCTCTTCTCGTCCACCCAACCCCCTCACAAACACACACACACACACACTTCAGTTTATTCACTGCTAATGTGAAACATGTCAGCTGCACATCAGTATATGTTAAGACCCTTTTTTTTCTAACAATATTGATGAATGTGTGCGAGAAAAACGTAGAAGTTACAACATTTCTGACAAATATCTAGGATTGGGTATCGATTGTTTTTTTTTTACGATACCGGTGCCAAATCAATACTTTTAAAACGGTACCGGTGCCTTAAAGGTGCCTGAACCGATACTTAAAAATAAAAAAAAGAGCCACACACAAAAAAAAGATTGATAACATTAAAGAACATTAAAAATATTAAAAATAATTATACATAGCATTCACATGTTCCTCGGATGCTCTCATTTCCTGATTTGTGCTTCCCTTACTCTAAGGCTAATAAATGTATTTTACAATCTGGGTCATTATTTAATACAAAACAATATTTAATACAAAACCACACAATGTTTCTACTATATCTCTGTCAATCACTCTGATATTTAGTTAAAATGAGTGAATTGACTGAGTGCTGTCTGTCACTGTCTTTAATCAGTTCTGTGAATGTATGCCACATGCATTGTAATATGTTTTATATTAAATATAAAATTTTCAAATGAAAATAGCAACATGATCGTTTTATAAAGTATGCGTTCATATGTGTTAAGGGCTAGATTTTCGCTGGAGGAAATAGCTGTGGTATGATGAGGGGTGAATGCAGCGAATACTTTACAGTAGATGGGAAACCGATTGCTCCCTCGTGGCCTTTTGTAAACTGTATTTATGACAAAGAACTGCACAGATACAGATATTATAACAATCTATCGATAAACACACACCTTGTGTCCTCTGTTTCTGTTTGAGTCCGCTCGCGCTGCGCCACCGCGGTCTGCAGATAGAAGAGCGTGCTGAAAGACAGGGAGGAGATGAAGTCTGCCGCCGTTTTCATATGAAATTTAAAGGGGACTGACTCTGTGGCGATCACAAATTTGTGTACAGTTTATGGAGCTAATCGCTATAGCCCCGCTAAAAATGGCCTAGCGACGCCCATGCTTCTTACGTCCATTTCAGAGAACCAGGACAAATATTTAAATCGATCGCTCAGGCATTTAAGTGGCATCGAAATCTGCGTTCTGATTCGGTTCTAGTACATACCGGTTACATAGGTACCGGTACCATATTGGCACCGGGTTTCGTTACCCAACCCTACAAACATCTGACTTTTGACATATCTTTAAACTGGACATTTTCTTGACTGTTTGTTGTAAGAACCAGGTTTATTAGTAGTTTGGTAATAAAGTTATTATTATTATTATTATTATTATTACTGGTCTTACTCATGTATAATTTGATTAGGTATGCCAGAATAAAGAAACCTACATGCATATATTGGGGCAGAAAACATTCAGTAGACAAAAAATAATAATGCTAAATTAAATGATAAATAATTAAATATTGTTATTTCGTTAAAGTGTGAATAAGCTTAATTGCTTTTTCACTTTATACATTTTGAATCTAATGTCAACAATGGCTGTTTGGTTGAAATTGTTTTGCTTATTTAAAAATATGTATAGGCCTATTTTAGAGCAACTACATAAATATCAATATAAATATCTTTTAAAATGTGTAATATTGATGTAATTTATATTTCTTAATATTATATAGTTATATTTCTCAATCCTAGATGTTATTGAATGATATTCATAAACCATGGTATTTGCAGTATATAATGTCCAATACACTGCAATAATACCATGGTACTCTTTCATCAGTGAGGAATCAAAATTTGAGTTATCTGTAGCTCTGTGGTTCAATCTATAGTACGTTTTCAGTATTCATTTGTCAGTTAATGTTACATTCAAATTGCTTTTTGGTTCTTGCCAGTGTGTTTATTAAGCATTTCTGCATATTCGGTGCAGATGCAGAGTGCTGCCTTGTCTCTGGCTCATCCTTAGAACACTGGGAGAGGTTGAGAGGGAGATGGGGGAAAAACACATCAGAGGGCAGGGAAGGATGCCTCATTCTAGAGCAGAAGCCTTTGTAGGGAGAGTTTGAGCGTGGGGGAGGGAGGAAGGGGGCGAGCGGGGTACCTGCGGCAGGAAATCGCAATAGCATCCCAGACTGGCTTCTGTTGTCTGTGCTTTCATCTTCTCTGTTTGTACCCAGATTCCCCTGTCGCTGCCGCAGCAACTAGGTGTTGTCAGCTGCAGAGAGTAAATATGGGATTTCAAGTCAGATTACTTGTCAGTTACTCTCATAAAACACATTTATTTGAAGGCAATTTTCAGTAGGCCTACATCCAGAAAAAACAAACAGTTGAGCAAATAATTGAAAATAAAATGACATACAAGAGGTAAATGAAGGTCATAATGAATTCATTGGGACGTTTGAGCATATAAAAATTTTAAATCAGTTACTACAGTATAAAAATTACAATTGAATTTAGTTTTACAACATTTATACGTGATGAGGTAAAAATGCAACAAGTTATAGTGCTAATGACATTTAATATTGTTTCCCTGTTTTTATTGTGAAATTGTATGCATGGATTTGCAGTCAGGAATTTGCTTTAGACGACATTTGTTTTTGATAGCAGCAATCAGGGTTGCCAGGTCCGCTTTCCCGCGGTTCTCCCCTCTGATGGGGGTCCCGTCTGTTGTAACCGTGTTCTGGGGGGTGAGGGGAGATCGCTTTAACCCGCAGCAACAGTGTAAAAGTAGTCCAATTCCATGGTAAAACCACTGACATGGCAACCCTGGCAGCAATAGATATCTTAAAATGAAATTTTAATTATTTACTCACCCTCATGTTGTTCTAAAACTTACAGGACTTTCCTTTTTACATAGAAAAACGAAAGAAAACATTTTAAAATATGTCTTAGTTGTTCTGTCCATAAAATGAAAGTCAATGGGTCCAATTTGCTTTTTGTTACAATGTTAAAGAATATTTCAACAGTTTTGTCCATATAATGAAAGCTCATTATGGACAAAACAATTGAAATATTCTTCAAAATATCTCATTCTGTGCTCCACAGATGGCATGAGGGTGAAAAGAAAGGACAGATTTTTCATTTTGGGAACTGTCCCTGTCATATTTCTTTATCATATTTCACATCCCTCATGACTGATGAACAATCTTGAAGTCAACTTAAAACGATAATGCTAAATAACCTATTTAATTATTTTTCCTAATCTTTAAAATGTAACCACTTGCTGTTCCTCCGAAACAACATTTCTTGTCCAATGACATCACTTGGATAGCCACCACATGATCAAATATTTGTTTTAGCAAACTCTTTCATTGTGTGACCTTATTATTTTATGTAACGCCCACTTTTGCTCATCAAATAAGTTACAGATTAATAAAATTAAGTCCTGACCTATATTTTGTCGTTGA